GAAATTTTATACAGACATTTTCCCACTGTCTGTAGTCACACCCTATTGCCACTTTAAGACACAGTAAGTACGTTAATGCTGTAAGATCTTATCGAGCACAGCAATCTCACCCGACACGGTCGCGGCGATGAACAAGCACATGGGGACATTTGGTGGACTGTATATACGTTGAACTTCTTTAAATGTCAGACATGCGCGCTAGTACAACTCGAATAGGTTTAATTGAACGCGATTTAAAGCGTATTTACCTGAAGTTAGGAATTGAATACTGCAAACTACTGATGGGTTATACATGTTCCTTAGTTATGAGTGTATATCTATATTCATACACTCGCACACACACACAATCCAAACAAGAGCTATATGATGGCTCCAGTGTAATACGCCGCTACACGTGGGCGGATATGTAGCACCGCAACGTTTTTGGGTTGTGGGGTTTGCACCGCAATGAACCACACTTTGTGAATTCGAACGAGAACAACGGGCGTAGTGCTAAAAGAAGTGCGTGTATAGTACTAACCCACCTGACACTACACAACCCACCTTGAATGGGATTGTCTAATACTAGCCCACCTGACACTACACAACCCACCTTGTACGAGATTGCCTAATACTAACCCACCTGACACAACACAACCCACCTTGAACGAGTTTGCCTAATACTAACCCACCTGACACTACACAACCAACCTTGAACGAGATTTTCTAATAGTAGCCCACCTGACACTACACAACCCACCTTGAACGAGATTGTCTAATACTAACCCACCTGACACTACACAACCCACCTTGAACGAGATTGTCTAATACTAACCCACCTGACACTACACAACCCACCTTGAACGAGATTGTTTAATACTAACCCACCTGACACTACACAGGCGCCTGCTTCACCACCTTGAATGAGATCGTCTCCTCGCCGGGCATGTCGCAGCGCATAACACTCAAGAACGAGAAGAAGAACAAGAATGCGGGTGTACTGTACATCACGGCCGAAGAGATGGCCGAGACTCAGAAGACCATTACCATGCGCTTCCACGCTACGGATCTCGATGGGAGGGTATGCCATGCCTAGGTGATGTGCTTCTAGTGAGGTTGTTTGGTTGATGATGTGATTCTACAGGCGTCATGTGTGTGTTAGTGAGGTGGTGCTTTGTACTTTACGCAACGCACACGACCGAGTAGTGGATACCTTGCAGTACATATGTATAGGCGTGTCTGTGAGTGTGTGGGGCGAGATAGCGTCTATCAGCTTGTGATGAATGATCAGGCTAGCGTCGACTTGGATCAAATAGCAGGAACGTTCCTGGCAGATAGTAGAGTGTATGTGTTCAGAGGTGCACCTGTCCTGTTTGAGAGGACCGACAGCCGCATTTGACCTGTTTATCTTCGGCGGTGTCTTGTGGCAAGGCAACGGTGTGGGTTAGTGTCAAGGCTTTTGTTTGCTTTCTAAATAAGTGCACACACACACACACACACGCACACTCACACACACTCACACACACTCACACACATACACACGCACATGTGCACTCACAAAAATGCTCACACACACACATACTCCCCCTCACTCTCTCTAAAACCCTAAAACAAATACGCTCTCACTCTGAGTGTGTATGTGGGTAGGACCAGACTATGGTCTCACGCTACACATTGTACATACGCACACCCACACCTTCGTATGATACAGAGCTTGTTCGCAGGGAAAGTCAATCCATTCCTGAGGATATACAGACAGAGAGAAGCCAATGAGATGGAATACGATGCAGCCTTCCGGACCGAACTGATCAAGGGCTCGCAGAATCCAGGCTGGAAGAAATTTGTGGTATG